AATAAAAATCTATTATTTATTGAAGTTATTCAAGTTTTTGCATTACTAGTTTTGTTATGGTAATGATTGCTTATTTTATATGTTGCATATCAATCAATTGGTTCAATTATTTTACATCTACCAAGAATTTTTTTTCAGTTTTTTTACATCCCTTTACACAGTAGTATACTTGGGATAACTTTTTTTTAAACCTCTTTAAACTACAGGGGTGTTTACATTTACCCCGAATTTCGGGAAAATTTCAAAATCTCGGGGTAAATGTAAACAGTCAGTTTTAAGCGATTCAAGTTGATCAATATTTTTTTGTACCTCATAAAATGTTTCTAGGGAAGTAAAGTAACAAGTTCATGCAGTAGAAAACCGGAAGTATTGCTTTTTAAAATAAAAAACTTACGTTATTGTCGAAACTAAGCAAATCCGTTTACATTTACCCCAAATGACCCTATAATAGTTATACTCTTATATAGTAATAGTGACGTACTTTAAGGGGACAATCGCAGTTGTAGCGCCAAAAAATAGACTTTTTTTTCCTACACCATTAAATTTTTTCAAAATATCGATTTATTATTTAAAAGTACATATGTTGAACATGAATTTAAAAAAAAAAGTTAAAAATATTAAATATTTTTAAAGTTAGGAACGCTGCGTAACCTATGGGCCTTAATGGATTAATAAAGAAATTTTAAAATAGAGTAACGAGTTCAGTAGCTGTGTAACCTATGGGCCTTAATGGATTAATAAAGAAATGTTAAAATAGAGTAACGAGTTCAGTAACTGACACCTTCAGTCAAACCTTTTTGGTTTTTATAATTAAAACGTATTTATTTAAAACTTTTGTTTGAAATATATAAGAAAAAAGTTAGGTTTTCAAATTTTAAATTCTATGCGTAAAATTATAAATTTTATATGTTATTGAAACTATATTTCTTATTAATTTAAAAATGCTTGTTTAAAAACAGTGAACGACACCTGTTTTATAATTAATATTACTTAAAATATAGGGGAGGATGGGGCAAGGATAGTTAAGGGGTAAGGATAGTTAGTTGCTGTTATGTTTAGACGGCTTGCTCAAAATTCGCGTCATTCATGGTATATTTGCGTCTTAACACCAATAGATGATAGTAAAAATTGGAAGTCAATCTGCCACCATTTGCGAAGTCAGGAGTTTATTTTTGTAAAAAGTCTGTTTTGCTAAAATGTCAACGTAGTGTTTATCATACTGTTTTCTATATTAGTGCTTCCGAATATATATTTTCGTAAGTGTTTTCCGGAGTGAAATTTCCTGCTGGACACGAATATCGTATTTATTTTCAAATTAATTAACGTCGTTCCTTAAAATTTAGAAAAAACTGAAATATGGGCTCATGGGGCAAGGATAGTTAGGACTATTACGGCTCGATAAAATCCTGCTAATGCGACTGCAAATTATAAAAAAATGTTTAATTGTTCTTTTTATGTTGATATACATAATGGTACGTAATTATATACGAAAAAAGAAGCTTATTGACCAAGAAATTGGTGATCATCTGAAGAAAATTGGTTAAACCTCAGATTTTAGTTCAGACGAATTTTAATGCAATAATTGATATTCAGAAAATGTTCAAAACATGTTGTTAATACTTGATATATCAATATTAAATAGTCTAAATCCAATAAAATAAAGAAACCGAAAATTTACTGATTTTCTATGACAATTTTAGCATTTGGATTCTTTTAACTATCCTTGCCCCGGTACTGGGGCAAGGATAGTTGAAATTTTTTTTTTACTTTTTCATTCGTATCTCGTAGGGATTGCACTCTACAGCAAAATAATGTATAGCAAAATTATAGCCAAATAACCAGGTTTTCTGAAGATACTATTCGATTGCTGATATATATTTAGGTTTGGCCGCTAGATTTGAAAAGGTCTTACCTAACTATCCTTGCCCCATCCTCCCCTACTTTTAGCAATAATAATTTATAAATATTATCATAAACCTCACAAATCACATTTAAAATAGAGAGAAAAAATTAAACATGATGTGTAATTTTCCAATGATTTTATCAATATATAAAATTTATCTGATAAACTGCTTGGGACTCAAGTTGTGTTAGCTTTAATGCTACTGCTTTGTTCACTCAGGCAGTTACTGCTTGGGTATCTAGTTATGATAGATTTTTTTCTCTCCGTGTAGGCTTTAATCGGTATGAAATGAGACTGACTTTTTCAATTTTTTTGATGGTTTAACCCTTTGCCAGACGTTCGTTACCCCAGCCCAGGACTGCCAGAGGTGCATTTTTATCTTTTAGAAACTCTAAAGTGCATCCTTCCAGCTGTTGACTGCTGGGGTCTTTTTCCTATCTTATCACTTTCCCACGAAAGTCCAAGAGTTTCTACCATCAAAAATTACATATGTTAGTCATAAAACTATAAAAAAAATATCAGGTTACAGAGTCTGTTTTATTTCTTTTTTTTTAAATAGTATCTCACACGTCGAATTAGTGAATCCTAAATAATTTTAAATAATTCTTCAAAATATTTCTTTAATATTAATGTTTGGAATTTCAATTTAATTTATTATTTATAATTATATATTGAAATTCCTAAAAAAATAAAATTAATTAACGATCAAATCTTTTTTTAAGGATTGAAGGAACTAAAATGCGCATCCCACGAGTGTAGACTACTGAAAGTACTTTGAAAATGCCTACACGGGGGATTTCAGGGTCGCTAATTACGATTCTGATGTTTGTTTTTCGAAATTTAAAATGTCTGATCCAATATGAAGAACAACATAGTTAAATTTAATTGATTTTTTTAAATTGATCATTCGTGGATTTTAAGGTTGCCGAATCTTCTTAATTCTTATTAACATCTTTATCTATCAGTTACTATACTGATGTTTTCAATTCTGACTGCGTGAAGGTAGATGATCAACGAGAATCTTATTACACGAACGATCAATTACAAAAAACTCAATTAAATTTAACTACGTTGTTCTCTATATTGGATCAGACATTTTCCATTTCGAAAAACTAACATCAGATTCGCAATCAGTGACCCTGAAAACCCGGAGTAGGAATTTTCAAGAGGATTAAATGAAATTTAACTTTTTTTGTTTGTCATATTGGATCCGCCCTTTTGAATTTTGAAACACTAATATTAGATTCGTAATCAGCGACCTCGAACACCCCCCAGTAGGCATTTTCAAAAGCATTGAATGAAATTTAACTTTTTCCGCCATTTTGAATTTTTAAAAATCTGATAGCATATTCGTATGCAGCGACCCCAAAAATCCCCGAGAAAATAATTTAAAGACTTTTTAAAAAAATTATGTATCGAACCATGAATTAAATATTTTCATAATTTTTTGAGTTTTCAGGTGCTATTTTGAAGAAAGAAAAGTTCATATTCAAAAAGTCGCAATTTTTTTTTATAGTCTGGCAATCGAGTGCACGATTTATAGGCATGCCAGCTGTTAAATAAATTTTTTGCTATCGAAATTTAAGGATTTTTAATAAAAAGTTATGAAAAAATCGTGCAATTTTTTAATTATATGCAAAAAAATATTGTGAAACAATTTTTTATTTATTTTTTGACAACATATTTGGATAGAGGACACATTAATACATAAAAAAAACTAGTCTAGTTTTTAAAGAAATATCAGGGTTTGAAAACAGACCAAAAATTCAGGCATTAATGCGTTAAATATGGCGGTATTATTAAAAAAACGAAAAAATTCATTTTTTTAAGTTTGGCAATTTTTTTACCCTAAAACAGTGTGAGAAAAAAATTCTATTCTCAACTGTAGGTGCATAAAAATTGTATACTTTCGAGAAACGTAAAGTAAAATTAAAAATTTCAAAATGTCGGACTCAATATGGCGTCAAATCTAAAATGAAATGTGAAAGTTTTGGTCAATAAGTGCCCAACTGACCTAATGTCATTGAAGTTGCCTGAATTTTGCGACTTGGGGATTTTTGAGGTTGCTGATTACGAACCCGTTGTTAGTTTTCAAAAATTCAAAATGGCAGACGATTTTTTGCTAATTCAATGCAATGCGCTTGAAATTTGTTACTCGGGGGTTTTCAGGGTCGCTGATTATGAATCTGCACTTCATTTTCAAAAATTCAAAATGGCGGATCCTAAATTGCAGACGGCTTTTTGAAATTCAATGAAATTTGCTTAAAATTCGTTACTTGTGGGTTATCGGGGTTGCGGATTACGAATCTGAACTTAGTTTTCAAAAATTCAAAACGTCGGACATGTTTTTTAAATTTTATCAGATTTATATAAAATATATGTCATTTTGAATTTTTGAAAACTAAGTTCAGATTGGTAATCAGCAACCCGGAAAACCCCCACGTAACGAATTTCATTGAATTTTAAAAAAGTCGTCTGCCATTCTGGATCCGCCATTTTGAATTTTTAAAACCGAAGTTCAGATTCGTAATCAGCGACCGCGAAAACCCCCTAGTAACAAGTTTTACGTAAATCAGATGCAATGTAAAAAACAATTCAATTTTATTGAATTTTCAAAAAGTCGTCCGCCATTTTGAATTTTTGAAAACGAAGTTCACATTCGTAATCAGCGACCGCGAAACCCCCGAGTAAAAAATTTCAAGCGAATTGCATTGAATTTTCAAAAAGTAGTCCTTCATATTCTATACGCCATTTTTTAAATCACTTATACTTAGAATATGAGGTCCTAGAAATACACTCACACAAATAAAAAACATTAAAATAATTTAAACCTTTTTTCTGATCCTTAAAAAACAAGTCTTTTGAAAACATAACAAAATTACCCCTAGTAAGGGATGAATCTTCTATAAATAAACAGGTACAATTTTCGGGTTAAGTTTTCTAATGTCTTGGCAGCGGATTTTTATTTCTTTTTTACCGGATTAATATTAATAAATAATTTTCAACTATTCTTTACTATTTTTATGCTTTATTTAGGAGTCCAATGATATAATTTAAATCACCATAATTATAAAAATAAAAATTATTCTTGTTTCAGGGCTTTATTTAGTTATGAAGGACAAACAAATAATTTAAAAGTAGTTTCTACTGGTCAAGGAGGTTTGGAAGAAATGATAGAAGAATTAAATAGTGGTCTTATAATGTACGCTTTTTGTCGTGTGATCGACAATAAAACAAGTTTACCAAAATGTTTGCTTATTAATTGGGTAAGTTCTATTTATTGCTATTGTCTTTTATTTATTTGCATTTTCTCTTTCAAAAAAATTACGTGATATATCAGAAACCATAAATGTATATTACGCAACCAACACAAAAAAACTCTTAGGTGTTGTTATTTTCATCAGTTAAATTAACTATCTTTTTATCAGTCATCTTTTTGACCTTTTTTGTTTTTTCTGCAACACTTTTCTTTAACCTTACCATAAGCTTCGTATAAGCTTACACTAATATTAATAAAGGTTAATAAATAAGGTAAAAGCACTAGTATCTGGACAAACCAAATTTAGATCCAATAGATGTATAGTACCAAAAAGAAATTAAAATAGCCTCCAAATTAAGTAAAAAAAATTGGTATACTTTTCAGATAATTAGCTTTTAGGCAGAATAAAATTTATTAATCGTACACTGTAAAAAATTTTTTGGTTAAAATTCCCCAAAAGTCTAGTGACGCAAATTTGCAGGGCATTTTGTGGAAAATTCCCTAAAATTTTAGGGAATATTCCACAAATATTAGTGAATTTTCCCAAAAATTAATATCAATAGTTTAAAAAATTGAAATAAAAATTTAAAAATTTGATTCATGTAGCATTTATATCTTAATTACATTATTTATTGGTACCTATTGTTGAAAATTTGTTTTCTTGAAAATTATCAAATATTATCATGAGGTCTCGAACGTAAGCGTCATTAGGAGAGATTTAGAAGTCTAACGCTTTACTAACTACGCCACGGAGGCTCATGAAAATAAAATGATAATTTCAATATATAAGATGAAACTATGTAAACATGCTTTGTAACTTTAAAAAAAGGAAACAAACGTTGAAAATAGTTGTGACTTATGTTATATAATAAATAAAATAAGATCTGTTAAACAAATATTGATTAAATTTTAATTTAATTCTTTAGAAATATAAATTTTTGTCTACTTAAAAATACTTATTTAGTTAAGTTATAATTAACTTATCTATGAAATGAATAAATTATATTACAAGTTACAAATAACTTTTTGTAACTTAAGTAAGTTTAAAGTTTAACTTTTTTGAAGAAGGATTTCAAAAAAATTGAGGAATTTTCACCACTTGTTTTTGGGGAAAAATATATTCATTGGAATTTTGAGAAATTTTCACCAACTTTTTTTAGGGAAAATATATACATTAGAATTTTAGGAAATTTTCACAAAACTTTAGAGAAAAAATAACTAATTTTTTTGGGGAAAACATTTTCCCCAAAAATATGAAATATTCACCAAAAAAAGTTGGTGATAATTCCCAAAATTTTTTACAGTGTAGGACCAAAAGAATATGTATATAATACAATTTCTCTAAAATTGGTGACCAAATTAACTTGCTGCTTATAAATATATATCGTACCCAATAGTTGGACAATGATTTAATTCAATTAACTCATGAAATTAATTAATTAGTCACAATTTAATCATTAATTAATCTTAATTCTGTCTGAATCGAGTGTCCAAGTTAATCTCCAGCTTTATATGTTGTTATTAGATGAATAAAAAGTACAGTGGAACCTCGATTATCCGAACCCTCTATTATCCGAACCGAAAAACATTTTATCCGAACTTCTATTATCCGAACTATTTTTTGGTCTCCCGAATTTTAAATTTTATTTTCTCTATTTATTTTATTATTCATTCATTTCTGAGAAGAATGCGTGATTTGGCATCTAAAAAACGAATAGATGCTATCTTTCAAAGCAAAATAACCAAATTTATGCCAATAAAATCTTAAAAATTTCCGAATTTTCTGAGTTTTTAATATATTATTAATTAATATATATTTACATATATGTATATACTTATGTATATTTAAAAACATATGTATTAAGTTAAATATATAGTTCAACTGTCCATTTTTTTACTTTAATTATAAAAAAAATTAAAATCTCTATTATCCGAATTTTCGATTATCCGAACCCGGCCTTGCCTAGATTAGTTCGGATAATCGAGGTTCCATTGTATTTTTAAGTAGATTTTAAAAATCATTTTATGTGGCTAATTTAAAAAAAGTTCAGTTTGAATGCAAAAATATCGTTTTATGTTGAACTGAATTTATTTAGTGCAAAAATATTAAAACAAACGCCTTTTACAATTTGATGAATTGTAACGCGGAATTTTGTCGTAATTAATAAAATCGGCTCTGATTTGTCCTTTCGTTCTATTATGAAAATTCTTGCGAGGTATTTAGGATTCTCAGACGGATTACAAAGGCGTTGAGGATATTGAAATTGAAAGTCATCAAGGGAAGAGCTTCCTGGTGTATATATTCGGATGTGAGTCCCGAATATTCAAGAACATTAGGAAGACGAATTTAACATCGGATAGTGTAGGAAGTTGCGTTACCGACGGCCACGTATCGATTATGGGTCGCGGATATTATATTATTGAATGTTAATTGATCTCATTAACACCGAGAAGAGAAGTTGCTGTGTTGCTGTTGTTGACCGTTGGCATATGATTGAACTAGTGTTCTTGCCCCGCAAAGCGTTAATCTGCATCAGACGTAAACCACCTGTTTGAATTGGACTAGGTTGTGTTTCCATATCCGGTTATGCTTAGTACTTGTTGTACAGCAGCCTTTTGAGCTGGAAAAGTAGTTGCAGCAAAGCTCCTTCTCCTTGCATAATTTTTGTACGTGGCCGTAACACTGGCATTTGAAACACAGTGTGGCAACCGAAAAAATCCTCCACTCTGCAGGCGGACGAACCAATATAGATGCGACATCTATTGATACTTTGGAGGACGTTTTTCAATTCTGGAGCAATTTCGTTTTCGTTCAACTCTGACGAGACGTCATATCCGCCAGATTTCAGCTGCGCGCTCGACAGGATTTTCTCGAAATCCTGGTCAGTGACCACTTCCATGGCAATACCTCCCTTCCTCATTGTCCTCACCCCTCCTAATTGAAGCTCTTACTTAGCTGGATTTACTAGCCTCAAAACTCTCATATTCGATTCCACGCTTGCATCGCCCTTTCAACTTTCAGAGGCTCTTATAAGAGCCACCTTGGCGAGCTGTGGTTGTGCCTTCTTGTCAAAAACACCACTCACGCTGAACGTCACTGGTTTGGGTTTCGCAGTTTTTGCCCTACTAGTCATACTAGCATATGATTTCATCAGGGTTTCGTTTTTAAGAACTTCCTTAACGCAACCTCGGTTATTTTCTCTCCATTCGTTTGCCTTTCGACAATTACTTCCCTCAAGTAGTTTTTCTTGAACATGAGCTTGTTAATAATAATGGAAAGCACTTCTACGTGTCTCATCACTTCACAGCTCAAGTCTTTCGAAACGTCGGGAGACTCTTTAAAGAGATCAAACAGAGCCGTTTTAGTTGCTTTCGCCCTCAATCTGTGACTCTGCTCTTTCTTCTAGACCTTCGACAATGCTTCTTCAGCTTCCTTTTTATGGAAAGATGCTTCAGCTAAGTCGTCCATTTTCATGGACGACTCAAGAGTATCCGAAGCCTGAAAAACAGCCTTCTCTGGCTTCGGAAAAGAATTAAAAAAAGAATTACTTTGTAATTCTTCGACACTTTCTTTGTGTGCTTCTTCCTTCTCGATGCTGCGACTTCGAAGCCGTTAGTGTCACATGTTATGCCTAACGAGTCGGCGCTCGATTGTCTTGCAAATGGAGTACTTAGTTTCCTCTTTTCTGAACGACCTTTAATTACGATTTCATTTGGGTTAAGGAACCCTGATGAGTTGGGTGATGTTTTAGAACTGTTTTCCTTGGTTTTCGTCATTACGTATTGTTTCTCAATTGAAAGATGAGCCAATTTTATTCACCTACTTTTAACCTTCGCGCTACCGACGTTTTTTTGTATACGCGGAACATAGTTACTCACTTTAAATTAAAGTGGTTGTTTTTCGACGGTCATGATAGGACACCACGGACCCTCGACTTAGGACGGAACCTTTCCAATCCCTAGGAAATAGGCAGGTTCCTGCCCAAGTTGTTATGCCGCAACTCACACATCGACAGTTTGAAAGAAATCTGACCACTTTTGGATCAGTTTCTTCTTTAATGTTTCGCTCTAAGCGATGTGAGCTTTTAACCACTTCCACCACGAGTCCAACACCAGATGATCGGAACAATGACAAGTATTTGCCGGAGCAAACACAAGTCCAAGTGGGCTTGCATTAGACTCAAGTGCGAGTACCAGTTTGAGGATTCTATCCTAACCACGAACCTGACCGACCCTACCTCCTTTTTAGTCGTCTCTTACAACGCGCAGACGGCAAAGTTGGGATTTTTCTCCCACCGATGTCTACACGGCTAACTTACGAGTATGTAGTGAACTAGTATGCATGTAACACCTCAATTTCCTGGGCTCAAATTGTAACCCTTGCCAAGTATTCAAACAGTACGTACGCCTGTTTGTACATCAGCAACTTTAATTCAAGTGGCCAATTAAGGCCTTCTTGCTCATGCATTTATCTGAGGTTCGTTCTAAGTTCGTTCCACTCAAGACAAACTATTAACACGTGTTCACTTGTCTTGGTCGGCTCGTTGCATTTAAAACTCAGACCCGCTACCAATCCTAACTGAGTTTGTTTCTGTGAAAACTTGCCACGTCCGGTGAGGAATTGGCTCCTGTAATGATTCGGTTTTACCCAAGTGTACTTGAGTCTCTCGCTGACATCTGGAAGGAGTTTTCTGGTTATCCTAGTGAATCTCCTCCACTCCTTCTGCCAGTTTGTTTCAAGTTCTCGTACGACTTATCTGACAGCTTTTAAACCCTGAAGCGTTTGGTCTAAATTGTCCACGACAATTTCGGGATCAGAAGGAGTGGATGAGACCCACTAAAATAATCAGAAAACTTCTTGCAGATGTCAGCAAGAGGCTCAAGTACACTTGGGTAAAACCCAAACATTACAGGAGCCAATTCCTCACCAGACGTGGCAAGTTTTTACAAAAACTAACTCAGTTAGGATCGACATCGGGTCTGAGTTGTAAATGCAACAAGCCGACC